TTTTTTGTTTTAAATGAAATACAAGGCTTTTTTTTTTTATTAAAACAAACATATTATACTTACTTGCTCTGTGCAATGGTGTCGCACAAAGAGGTCCCTCACCTCCTCATCTGAAGTCCCCCATCTTTGTTTTCTGCTCCTTCTCTTCTGTGTGTCCCCCCATAGTAAGCCGTGAGCTCCCAAGCCGGGCTGTGTGCATCCATGCACACACCAGTTCGGACCTACTCACTGCTTCCTCCTCATAGGATTTGACTGACAGCAGCAAATGGATCCCACTACTTTCAATGAACCCCGTGAGAACAGGGAGGGGGAAGAGAAGATATGTAGCCGGGCACAGCACCGGATCAATAGAGGATTCAGGTAAGTGTTTGGGGGAGCACATCCAAGTGTTAAAAACTTTGTTAAACCGGTATTAAAACCCAAAACAAAAACTTTTTTATATTGCAGCCACCACATCGAAGGATTGGTAAGCTGCATTCGTTTTCTTTTTTTGGCTTTTCCCCACTCCGTTTCCACCTGGTGATATGGCCAATAACTCACCTCCTGCATTAGGGTGCCTCTACTTGGGATGAAGGAGCACAGGGGAAACTTTGGACAGCAGCATTGTCAATCTGGGGGGAGTGGATAGTTAAATGTATTAGCAGACTTAGGTACACTAACTGAAGCTAAACGCCAGCTGACTCATAAGCAGTTTTCACATGAGTAAATTAAAGTTGATCATTGTATGCAAAAATGTCAGTGGTAAATGGTTTGTCTCATCCCTGTAACTGAAACATCTGCAAGAGAGCTTGCCATTTTGAAAAAAAAAAAAAAAAAAAACAGACAGGCTAAAAAAGAAAACCAATGCAGTGACCATATGCAAGAATTGGCAAGCTGCAATATAATAAATGTTTGCTTTTGCATTTAATACCACTAACTTTAGAACCACTTTTAGTGTACGCTACGTTATGAGAAAAATGGTAATAAATTTGACATACGGCAGGAAAGATTACAGACTGGACACATGCAGGAGACTGCCAGAAACTGGGGACATGTTATATGAGATCAAGTTCACAGCCATTACTGCCCCTTTAAAAGAAAGCATCAGCAAGATGCATTATAAAAGTTATAGTAAAAAAAATACACAAAAGGAATAGCCAGCAAAAAAAGTGCTAAAGAAAAAACAAAATCACTTAGCTAGTAGAAAGCAGTTTAAAGAATATTTTCGGTCTTGGAGTAAGCACCTAGGCAAGGAAAGCACTGACTACTGAATGTTGGGGCTTAAGGGTCACAAAATTAGTACCATTGGGACACAGGTTGGGCACCAGGAAGCCAACACTGTATTGTATTGGGGTGCAATTAAGAATGAATGGCAATGCACCATAAATATACCCTATATATCGTGGTGTGCGCATGTGAACACACACCATAACACAACTCAATATGCATGAGCTTACAAACGTGTGAATAGAGCCCTAAAGATTTCGTGATGCTTCATTTATCAGGGTTCTATTTTAAAGAGGTAGACTACAAATGCTGTTTTATGCAACTTCTTATGCATCAAACAGGCGCTAAAGTAATTATTCCTGTGGCATCCCAGAAAACTACTGAATGCATCAATAAACGCTCAACAATCAATATAGGCATTTGAAATTTAAAGCCAAACCCCAGAAAATAAAAACTGATAAATACACATATGAGATGCATAAATAATATTAGTTTTATCTGGTTAAGGTGATGCATTTCCGTTCATAGATGCAATGTGATGCATGTTGAGGGGGGGAAAAAAAAAAAAAAAAAAAAAAAAAAAGTAAGGACATGTGTCCCATCAAGAGCAAGGAATGGACAGATTTTGTTTTAAAAATCTGCAATCACAGATCCCTAAACCAAGAGTCAATCTAGATAAAGACAAAACCCCATTGCATAAAGCATTGTACAATTTGCTGCTGCAGGGGAAAAAAAAAAATAATTTCTGATCCCCTAAAGCAATCAGATTCTCCCCTGATCAACGATCCACTATTGTATTACTTATACATGTTGCTAAAAAATAACCATCACACCTTGAGATTTACACAGCCCTTCCAGATAGCAAAACCATCCTGATGACCTGACTTTCTCTGCTGTAGTTAAATACAACTAGGTCTGACTGGACAATGAAGGAGCAGCAACAGACTAGTGAACACAAACCTCTGCTCTCATCTCCTGTCAGCATGGTCCTTGCTAGTATATCTGCATACAGCACATCTGGATGGCTCTTAGCACTAATCCTCCTTCACCCAGGCTGAGCGTTGCCATCGTGCGGAAGGCAGACATCCTGACAACTTCAGTTACTTACCTACCAGCTTTGTTTGGCATTTTAAATCTGGTATTTAAAAAAAAAAAAAAAAAAAATGTATGCTGCCCTGTATCAATCAATAAATATATTTACCCGTAAATAGTACCAGTACTAGGATTTTCCTGGTATCGGCCTCTTGCAATCCCTGGTGTGGCAAAGCACAGGATGGGAGAAGCAGCACAAGGAACCAAATAGATGTGCTGGAAGAATGCTGACAGAAGGAGAGAGCAGATTAACAGAAATTATTAGCTCATTAGAACTGCTGCACATTTCACTGGCCAATCACAGGCTGGGGAGAAACCAGACCTGTAGGTAGCAGAAAGAAATCAGGTCTCCTGTGCTGGCATATAAATTGATGCATCAATCTCAGAACTTGACTGACAAATACAAATCCTTTGGGATATGCATTTCTTCTGCTTTCAGTTTAACTTCAGGAGAGCAGCTAAACATTCAGAAGTATACTTACCTCCACTCCAGCAATCCAGTGTCCCAGTGCTCCTTTGCCAGCCCATCTACTTCCAGGTTCCCCTCTTCAGCCATTTTGATTGGTTGGGCTGAAAGGATGTCATGTGTGAGCATTTTCTCATCTCGGCAAATACCAAAATTGTACACTGAGCTACATGATGATAAAGCAGGTAAGAATACTTTAATGCAGAAGATATGGAGTGTCTCCTCTGTATCAAACAGCCTGCTGTTTCAACCCCCCCAAAAAAGCACAAAGCATTCTGTTGAAGGAGGAGCAGATAAAATACAGGATTTCTGCTGCCCATTCACAAGAGTTGCATTGTGGGAGAATAGTAGTATGAGGTCTCTGAATAGTGAATGGGGGGGGGATGAACAAGCAGCACAATGTTTAAAGTGGTTGTAAAGGCTGAAGGTTTTTTTACCTTTGTGCATTCTACACATGAAGGTAAAGAACCCTCTGTGTGCAGCAGGCCCCAATACGTACCTGAGCCCAATCGCAATCCAGGGATGTCCCTCAGCTCTCTGGGGACTCTCGCTCCTCATTGCCTGAGACAAACAGGCGCCATTCGCTCCTGTTGTTGCGAATCACAGCCAGTGAGAAGAAAGAGGGGACTGGGTGGAGCTGCAGCTTTGTGTGTGAATGGAAACACAATAGCAGCTCAGGAGCAAGCTGGCTTGGGTGCCCCCATAGCAAGCTGCTTTCTCTGGGAAACTCGGCAGGAGTACCAGGGGACCTGAGAAGAGGAGGATCAGGGCTACTCTGTGCAAAACAATTACACAGAGCAGGGATGACATTTTTGTTATTTAAAAGAATGCCTTTAATATCACTTTAACGCCAGCACTGGAGGATAGCTGCTCAGGGCAATATCCATCAGCACATGAAGTTAGCATGAGGAGAGAACTTTTTTCCTTTTTGATACAAGCACATTTTCTATTAATCAGCTCTAAGGGCTTGACACAGTTGAGGGGTAGTAAAACCCTGCAGATGAGCTGCGTTTCCAACCACTCCCCCTTTAGCTGCAGTAGCCAGGGGTGTACACATACCACAGTAGGAATTACACCTCCTGTCACTTTTGGCAGATGTGTAACCTGTTCATGTGAAAAGGGCCATTCTGCAAGCGCCCCTTAACCCCATGCAATGCACATGGTTTCAACACTCTAGTGCAGAGCTGAAAGGGTTAGAGTAGGTGGCGAAGAGGTGATACAGGGTCTCTTCCCCACCTGTCAAATGCTCTCTGAAGAGCAATCTGATCACAGATTACTCTTCAGAGACCAAAGCAAGTGTGAACAAGCCCTAAAATAGATGTGCACTCATTAAAAATGATCAAATGTATTTTTTGCATATACAAAATTCCAATTCTCTAAAAAACTGGATACAATTTCACCAATATGACCCTTCCTAGGTGACAAATGTAATCAGCAAGTATATCAGAAGAAAAATCTGCAGTATACACATTGCTAACAGGTTGATGGATGGGGATCAGGCACGCTGCAACATCATTGGGTCCAGGTGATGACAGATACCTGCATGCCCAATCCTGCTTCATCAAGACTCCAAATGTCAACAAGAACATGACTGGCCCAGACCTGTCACACTGGAACACCTCCACCTATGGGGCAATGCAGAGCCTAAAGGGGATGCCAGTGTACCATCTACAAGGTGTTCCTGTGACATGAGCCAGGACTGGAGGCTGCAGACCTGTGTGACATCCAGGGACAGAAGCAATGATGGCACACCAGTGTGGAGTCATGGGCAGGACAGCAGAGGGATGAGTAGGGAAGGCCGGCACATCTGGCCGCTGGGTATTTGGCGCAGGTAGACACACCCGGGTGCTGAGCTCCCCCTGGCCATGGACAAGGTAAACAAGGACACCATTGGATCCATCCTGATGCAGCGCCTGCCCCCTGACAAAGGTATCCATAGAGGCCAGGATGAGAGCCCGGCTCATTGTCTCCCATTGTAAAGGCTCAGAGGCTGGCGGCGGTGTGGAAGGGAAGCAGTCCGCTTGACCCGGCTATAGAGACTGACCGTCCCTGCGGCATGCCGTCTAATGAGGAAACATAAAAGCTCTCCAGCTACCATGAACCCCACACACAGGTACAGCGCTGCTCTCCACCATGCCCCTTGCCGGTGTGATGTACACAATGCCATACCTGCCCCGTACCTCCACCCTGTGGGGTCGCTCCCCACTCCCTCCTCCTACTCGTGTCTCCGCCTCACCCGCCTGGGATGCAGACAAAGCGCCTGACGCCACTGCGTAGAGCACGAGGAAGAGGGAAGTCCGGGCCCGGCTGGCATGCAGTTGGCAGCGACAAGTTCCTGGGTGCGATCCTCGCGGCCCCCTCTTATTGCCAGGACTATCTCCGTCTCCCCAGGCGATGCAGACCAGGAATCCCACCTCTCCCGCCGGCCGCGCCACACGACGAGGCAGGACCGACCTTCTCCCGGAGCCTTTCAAGGCAAATCAAAGCGCTATTGGCTCAGCGGTCTGCCACTCAGATTGCTCTCCGCCCACTACGGCCTGTCCGCGGCCTCCTGTGCACTCACTGGGCCCGTCGACTGTCGATCAGCATTTCTGGTCCCGCCCAAATATTGCGAGAGGGTTCTTGCCGGAGCTTGCGATTGGCTTGAAGGGACGTCACTCGTTGGGGCGTGTCCCTCCACCCGAGTGAGTGAAACGGGCGGAAAATGATTGGCAATACAATCAGTCTATCGCTGGGCAAGTGTTACTGCCGGGTTCTGCCCACACTATGCCGGCTACGCATTGATGAGGTCACTTCCGCTACAGTGCAGTTGCCTTGATTATTTCCTGCAGGTTAAGAAAAGGAGGAAGTGTTGTAATTAGGTCTTGGGCAGATTATGTGTAACATGCGCCTGTGCGTGCTGTACCATTGCTGGGGTTACTTTGCAACAACTCTGCTAGCAAAAATAAAGCTGAATTCCAAATATAGTTTCTTGTTTGCATAGTTACGTTGATCCAACATTGCCCAATGGAAATATGTAGATGCCATACCTGAAGGACAATTGGGAAAGTGAGGAATCGCTCTAAAAGCAGAGTAGTCTCCCTACCCCATAGTGACCACAGGATGTAGCTTGCTGGCTTGGCCCCAATGCCTTACACAGAACACGTGAGACCGGAGCAGGTGAAGTGATTATATCATAACCTCTACTTCATCCAATCAGCAAACACTTTATATTCATTGAGGAAACTACAATCACAGTACTTGGCCTGTCTGTGAAGGTTCTCATTTAACAGGAGAGAGAGATCTCTTATCACATAAATGGTTTGAAGTACAAGCTTTATAACATTCTTTCCACAACAGAGATTCTTGTTAATAAAAAAAACAAACACTTCTATAAAGAAAAGGAGAACATATGTGTAGAACCCTCCTAGGTAGGTGCTAGGATAGACAGCAATTTTCAGCTTTCAGCACTGTTGCACTTTGAATGACAATTGTGCAGTCATGAAACACAGTAACCATATGAAATTTTAATTTTTTTCATACAAATAGAGCTTTCTTTGGTGGTATTTAACCACTTGCCCTCCTGAGGATTTACCCCCCCCCCCCCCCTTAATGACCAGGACTCTGTTTCACACAAATAGAGCTTTCTTTCGGTGTAATTTGATCACCTGTGCGCTTTTTATTTTTCACGCTATAAACAAAAAAAGACCAAAAATTTTGAAGAAAAACTATATTTTTTACTTTCAGCTATTAAAAATATATAGTAAACTCAAAGTTAGTTATAAATTTAGGCCAAAATGTATTCTGCTACATGTTTTTGGTAAAAAAAATCCCAATAAGTGTATATTGATTGCTTTGTGTGAAAGTTATAGCATCTACAAACTATGGTATAGATACTGCAATTTATGCCATTTTTTGCTATACAGCGCTGTGCTAGTTTAACAAACAATTGTGCGGTCATGCAATACAGTACATAAATGAAGTTTATGTCCTTTTTTTTCACACAAATAGAGCTTTCTTTCGGTGGTATCTGATCGTCTGTGCGTTTTTTTAGTTTTTGCGCTATAAAAAAAAAATGGCTGACAATTGAGAAAAAACAATATTTTGGACTTTTTGCTATAAAACACGTCCAGTAAAAAAAATTTAAAACAAATTTCGTCATAAATTTTGGCCAAAATGTATTCTGCGACATGTCTTTGCTAAGAAAAACACACAAGACATCTAAATTAATTGGTTTACGTGAAAGAATCTGACAGTAATAATTCTGCTACTCCCATCTGTCATGCCCAGAATCTGAAAGGCCTTTCCAGGATTTTCCTGAACCTTTTCTTTTTGACATGGCATTCAGGTAATGGCTGCCGATCAGGTTATGCTGGCCCTGGTGCGGCTGTACAGATGTGGCAGTGCTGGCTTTACTGACTCCGCAGACACTGTTACTGGTGTGACTAGCGATCAGAACAGGGTTGCTGGCTTCACTGGCTCGGCTGACACTGGTGCACACTGGCATTGGTGTGGTCGCAATCAGGGCCCTGGTGCTAGTTTACACAGGCCTGGTGACACAGTAATCAGTGTCACTGGCTAGGTGACAGTGTGACTGGTGTCGCTAGCGACCAGGTACACTGGTGCTGGCAACATTTTTTTTTTTATAACACTGGTGTGGCTAGCAATCAGGAACACCAGGCCACTGTAACTGACTACACTGGTGTTTTGGTGGAGAAAATACTGTGCAACTGTTGAAAACACAGATCGCTGTACCAGCTCTCTCTCACACAGGCACTGAGTCAGGAGAGAGCTGATGGCTGCACCATGCAACTTGTTTACATTTTGTGCTTGCTGTGATTAAACACAGCGATCATATGGTACATATGGTTCGAGGGATACAGCAGATCACAGGGTCCACCACTGCATGCTCTAGAACACAAACTCACACCAGCGGATGATGTGGGAGACCTTATATATTCCCTCCTGCATTGACACTGCTGTGCCAGTCTGCTGGTCTTCTCTCCCCATTTCCATGCAGCTTGGCTGAGAGCATTGGGAGCCATTGGCTCCTGCTAGTCAAATCTTGAAAGGGGGGGGGGGGAGGCAGTCACAGCGTGTGGTGCCAATGGACACACAGCCCAGCTTGGGATCAAGCCTTCACATCTGCTCCCCATAGCAAGACTTTTCTATGGGGCAGAAACAGAAGAAGAGCCAAAATTGCCAGCGGGGTTCCCCAGAAGAGGAGGTTCATGGCTGTTCTGTGCAATACCATTGCACAGAGTAGTGAATATAACATTAACTAGAAAAGCTACAATTTCTGGGGAAATTGTGTGAAGTGTTCTTGCCTCCACCAGTAGTCTACAACTGGAGTGGGCAAAGTAACTGGGTGGAGTGGCTTGTCACTCTGCTGCCTGCTCACACACCTGGGTTCCTATGGCAACTCACTCTACAGCAAGGCCAGAGAAGAGCGGTTAAAAACAAACTTCTCCAACTTGCTCACTTCACTGGCGGTTGCCATCTTCAAACGGTTGTAGTTTAAAAACTGTAAATCCTACAGCGAAGAGCTTTATATTGTGAGAATCACAAGACCCAGACCTACATTTTGATGCATAGTATGTCTGTGAAATATTAAAAATGAAGGCACAGTTACAGTTTAGATATTGCCCTTCAAATTTGAGGTGGCTAGAGTGGAGTTTCAATGAATGTCAATGTGAGTTGCAAACAAATAGTCATATTGTGAAAACTGTCAGGACTATGGCTTAGCCGTAGTCATTTTTAGTGGCAGCAGGGATAGCTGAACATTTTGATATAAGATTTGTGTAGGTGGGCTTGAAAATGAGGGAGTGATGGCAGTTTAGAAATCATGTCCTGATTTTTCAGCTCACACTCTAGCTTTTGTCAGCTCCCACTTTAGTTTTGAACATTCCGCCATTCATTCCTATGGGACCAATTTCACCACAAAATGCCGATATTTCGTGAACCATTTGGCGAAAAACAATCCACAAAGTAATAGCACAGCAATCGGGAACAATCCGCACGTTTCGGTATATTACTGTCTATGTAGTGTAAAACTGTGGGAGGAGTTAGGGTGGTAAATTTGGCTAGAATAATAAGACTATATATGTGAGATAACAGTAAGTAGTCTTGCCATGCAAGAACACTTCATTATTTTAAAGAAATTATTTGCAAATGCTTTCAATTTGGAAGGATTTGCAGTAAAACAGCTCTAGAACTGTGGCTGAACTAATGTTATCTATCCACTCAAGTGACCTTGTGGCCTAGAGTATGTTGGACAGACAATAGAAAAGAGGGTTTGCAGAAAACAATGGAGAAATATTCATAAATATCAATTAATGTTCGCAGAAGCAAACCACTCACTCAACACATTTGAAAGCAATACACCTGATTGGGTTCCAATCCTGTAACTCCATCTTCCAGTCTGAATGTTGCTGTATAGGCACTTGTAGGTGGCTGATACCAAATTAAATTCAAGCAACTACAGTATTTGCAGCTACCCTGGTTTTGCCTAGACATTATTGCTATCTAGATACTTATGTCAAATTTAGCTGTTTCAGCATGACCAACGTACAATATTTCAATAACTTATATGCATACCTAAATATATTTACTTCTTTTAAAAGGACATACAGAGCTTTATTTGGCACAATGCTTAGTAAAAATCCTGTTTTGCTTTTTACTATGCTATACTCCAAATACAGCATTAAACCCAAAATAAAAAATGTAATATTACAGCTTACCAGTCATTGGATGTAGTGGCTGCATTAGTTTTCTTAGACTTTTTTTTTTCCCGTCTTCACCTGGTAGTGCAGCTAGGAACACTTTATTAGGGTAGCTAGAGTAAGGATCAAGGAGCAACAGAGACACCTTTTGGGCAGCAGCATTGTCAGTCTAGGGGAGGATAGTGTTAGATGCACTTACAAAAAATTTTTAAGCAGTTTTGTTCCTTTTGGGATAAAAGTTTAAAAAAAAAAAAAAAAAAAAAAAAAAAAAAAAAAAAAAAATCACACAAAAAACTGTTTTTTAGCTTGTACTGTTGAAAAAAAGTACTTACTGGCAGGATCACCAGGTGAAAATAAAAGGATATTCAGACCAAAAAAAAAGTTTGCTTTTGGAATATTGATTTAAAACATACGACACTGCAGATGAACACAAACTTGAAGATGGCAGCGTTCATCTGCAGGCTTTTTTTTTTTTTTAAAACCACTTTTACCCCTTCTTGACCAGGCCATTTTTTGCTATTCGGCACTACGCTACCTTAACTGACTATTGTGCGGTCATGCAAAACCATTTCCAAATAAAACTGATCTCTCCTCCCAAAGTTTTTTTATGGTGGTATCTGAACACTGCTGAGTTTATTTGTTTTATATATATATATATATATATATATATATATATATATATATATATATATATATAAAAAAAAATCCAATAAAATCAAACTTCATAAATT